ATCGGATTAACAATAGAAATCAACAATTAACAGTTTAACACATAAGAAAGGGGGGAAATTCAAAATCCCTGAAGAACAACAGCAAATAACATAGAAATCAACAAAGAAGTTAAAGAAAATTCACCGTTTTGACGAAGTGATTGCAGACTCCCTTGGCAAATGGATCGGCGAAAGCCTGATTCGGATCTGCAATCGAAACTCTAGGATTGTTGGCATGTTTGATGTATATGTGTATTGATATGAATGGATTATAGGTATACGCACCGCTGAGCGAGTGGTACCATTGAGCTCTGGCGCGGAGGTGCTGAAGGCCCTGGAGGTGGCGCTTTCTGGCGGCCGGCGTGTCTTGGAACTCCTTGTCGCAGTAGTCGCAGTAATACTTCCCCAACGGCATTCTTTTTCCTTCTCTTCTTATTCACCCCCCTTTTTTTTCTCCTTAAATCTCAGTATCACACTCAAGTCTTAGATGTGGTTACTCTAGGTTTTACAAAAATTAATTTATATACATTGATATATTTTATTTTCATGTTAATTGCATTATAAGAGATAATTATTTTTTTATCCTTATCTCACTTCACTCATATATTATGTGACTCGAAATTAAGATTATCACTTAATTATTTATGTCGTTAGTTATATATATTGATATTTTAATATAAATAATAACAATAATAAACATTAATTATTTTATCAACTATTATTAAGAAAATAGAAAATTTAGGAAAAGGAATGGAAAGGGGTGAGGTTCTAACACTACGTGAGATATCCTTAACAATTAATAGGTGGTCAGTCAGATCACTTAAAATTTTTTTAATATTAACTATATTTAACATATAAATTGAAAAGAATTTGTATTTTAAAATGCAATATTTAATAATTAAGATTAATATTTGTTAGTAATTCTCTAAAAAATTAAAATAAAAAATACTTCAAAATTAGTTAGTTTCATGAAAACATCACGGGTAAGACTATGACAAAATCATTTGTAATTTAAAAATAAATTATTTTAACATTTTAATAAAAATTAATTGAATCCAATATAATTTTAGGTCTTTTTTCTCTTAATGTTTTAAATATCCAATTATAAACACTTTTCCCTTAATAATTTGTGTCCTTTATTATTATTACTATTTTTTTTTTTTTGGTGACAATAACATGTCATAACTCTTGACTTGAGATATCACTGTGGAATATAAAGTGTTGAGATCCATTTCATTAAAAAAAAATTGTAAAGCCTGAATAATAATAGTAGAGGCAAACTCACAAATATTAGGGTTTCAATTCAGTCATTCTTCCTTATAATTATACAACCTTACAACCTCTCAAATTATGTTGTAAAGTAGACTATGGTCCAGAATGGTACCCCTCTGTTTTATAATAATTATCATTTTTTAACTTTTTTTT